CGCTGTCAGACTGCTCAGCCAATGAGAATGGACTTCAGTTCCTGCTCAGCTCAACTGAACATAACACTTAGGATGGCTAGATGGGTTTATTTACTGTAGACGAAAATAAATGCAGCAAGACTGGCTAATGCACAAATACAAGAATATATGCACATACATATTTGGTTGGATTCTTGTTTTTCCACAATGTATATATGCAGACTTCATGCATACATACACACACTTCAGCGCACAAGTATATAGATGTAGGATTTGCACTGTAATCTCTCTAAATGTGTACTTTTGTTCTGTCATTATGGCTGGCTTGGGATGCCTATAGCTCTCATATTTAAATCTTTGGATTTATCTATCCCACATTTATATATCTTGGCTGATAAACATTGGTTCTTCTCAGCTCCCATACTTACTCAGATGATTTCTCTTTCATGTTACCAGACCATTTAGTCACATTTGAAGATGAAAAGTTTGAATTGATTACACTGAAGGTATCAGCAGTTCTTGAATTATGACTGGTCACTTAAGTACTATTCAAAGTTACAAGAAACTTAAATATATACATATATATATATTTATGACCTATCCTTGAAATTACAACTGGCACACACATAGGGACTCAATAATCATGTGATAGCATTTTGGGTGCTTGGCAACTGGCTCATTTACAACCAGTTGCAGCATCCCATATTAACATGACTGCGATTTGCAATGTTTTTGCCTGTTTGTCGTGTTTTTGTTGGCTTCTGGCAAAAAACGCCAATTGGATATGTTGAGTTTGCTTAACAACTATCTGATTTATTTAAAGATCACAGTGACTCATTTTATACCTATGAATCTAAACATTATTCTAAAAGTGAGTCTGTGATGCCTCAAATTATGAGCACAATGAATTACAGCAAAACTTCTGGGGCCCCTGTGGTCGTAAGTTGAGGACCACTACATCAATGAAGCTTTCTTTTTAAGAAACTCTGTATGTTTACTTCCTGGGACCATACTGTATTGTTCTGACACATGGGAGGGATACAGACATAGGTTAGTCTAGGTTGCATAGAATGCTGTGAAGATGCTTGAGTTAAAACTGGGCTCTTGTTATGGTTTTGACAGATTGCCTCAAATGTTCCACTGAATAGAAGTATCCTTTTCATTGACAGGAAATATTGCATGTGACACAGTTATAATTACTCTTAGTAATTTAAGCTATACCTTTATTTTATTAAAAGCATTATGTGAAAGCCTTGACTGACCAAAGTTTTGATGGCAACAGAAGTCAATATCTAAGGGTCCATCTGACTATGACCACAACATATGGAAGGTTGGACTATTAAGGAATAAGTAGTAAATTACTCTAATTGTATAAATGAAAGAAGGATGTGCTCTATGTTTGTGAATCTCAGACAAAGCACAAGATACAGTGGTTCTGAATAAAGGTCTTCTGATCTGGTGGAGTGAATGCAGGAAAGCAAACATGTAGGTTTAATTATAAAACTTAGAATATAATAGGGTGGGAAGAAACCTTGGAGGTTTTTTAGTCCAATAAATGGCTGTCCAATCTCTTCTTAAAATCTTCTAGTAATAGAACACCCACAATTTTGGGAGACAAATCGTTCCACTGATTAATTATTCTCACTGTTTGGAAATTTATCCTTAATTAAGAAAGAGTTAAAATATATGCTATAAAGCAGTGCATCAACATTGATGCATTGATCAAAAACATGGTTTTTCTTTGGGTAACAATATTCAAGTTCTTTCCTCAAACAGGAACATTTAAATTTGACCTTTCCGATAAATGGTTTTGACTAATGAAGGAAAAGTTTTGAGAAGCATTTTTATAAAGTACTAATTGTGTAATCTATGTGCATATGAAAGTAAGAAACCACAATGTGATGATAGTTGCAAATCTAGTGAATAATGTAGAAATATGAATGAGAATGACTATTTGATGAGCAAAAAGGAAACAAACTGAAGGCTGACATGAACGAGACAGTAAATTGAAAAGTAGAATAGAAACGAATAGTTCATATCTTAGTGTCCAAGGAAGAATGGATGAAAGTATGCTAAAAATTGTGAGATTTTGCCAATAGGTATTGTAACTGATAACAGATAATCAGAGTTGGAAGATCATCTAGTCCAACCCCCCACCGAAGCAGGAGACCCTACACCATTTCTGACAAATGGCAGTCCAATCTCTTCTTGGTTGATTGTTCTCACTGTCAGAAAGTTTCTCCTTGTTTCCAGGTTAAATCTCTCCTTGTTCAGTTTCCATCCATTATTCCTTGTCTGGTGCTTTAGAAAATAGCTTGACCCCTTAGAAAATAGCTCGACTGGAAGTTTTGAAATATTAAGCTGGGTTGTTTATGGTGTGGCTATGTGATTTGTTTAACATACGTATGAAGTTTTTATGTATCTGACAAAAAAGAAAAGCAAGAGTGAATGCAAAAGCTACAGAGATATTAGACTGTTAACTGTACCTGGGAAGGTGTTTAGAAGACTTAAACAATAAGCATATTTTAGGAAGTGTAATAGGGTTTTGTGCCAAGCAGGGATATAGGCCAGCTTTTGACTCTTCAGCAAAAACGTAAGAAAGAAAATATGTTGATTTATATAAAATGTTTTAATTATAAAGTATTTTGCACAAATACGGAGTTGATGGGTAGTTGCTGAATGTAGTAACAGTAGGATATGGAAGAAGTAACACATGTGAATATAAATGGAATGCCTAGCAAGTTTTTCAATTACACCAAGAGTGATGTCCTGTTTGTTATCTATGGATAAAAAGGTTTATAGTGACATTAGAAGTGTATTGGTTGGGGACTTGAATGCACATGTATAGAGCGGATACCTGCCCTTTAGTTGGTTAAGAACCCATATAATCTGTGGTCTATGTGGGATGGATTGTATGATGACTCAAAGGATACAGAAAGCTATTGTAAATAGTGATGGTGCATAGCATTAATCTCCCCCTCCTCTTCCTCCTCCTCATCCCTTTCCCCCCTCCTCCTGCTTTTATGCATTTAACTTCCCTGGCTTACTATATTTCTCCCCCTTTTCTGTGCTTTGCATAATGCTGCTGTCTTGAAATGTGTAACAGAATGTGTATTCTAAGATCCCAGTTTCAGCAGCTATGGCAAACTATAAATTTCCTCTTGGTAAATCATATTGAAAGCATGGTCTTCATTTTGTGGTTCTGGCTAAATTGAATCAAAGAATGGGGAAATATTTGAAAAAGGATGAAACAAAATATAGGTACTAAATCATCCCTTCTCTGGTAATGTTGTTATGTACATCATCATAATAAATTAATTGCTTTGTAAGGGAAAGGGAAAGGTTCCCCTCGCACATACATGCTAGTCATTTCCGGCTCTAGGGGCGATGGTCATCTCTATTACAAAACCGAAGAGCCAGTGCTGTCTGAAAATGTCTCCATGGTCATGTGGCTGGCATGACTAAATGCTGAAGATGCACGGAACACTGTTACCTTCCCACCAAAGTGATCCCAATTTTTCTACTTGCGTTTTTACATGTTTTTGAATTACTAGGTTGGCAGAAGCTGGGACAAGTAATGGGAGCTCACTCTGTTATGTGGTGCTAGGGATTCGAACTGCTGAACTGTTCACCTTTCTGATTGATAAGCTTTGCATCTTAGCCACTGAGCCACCGTGTCCCACAACTGCTTTGTACTTAACACCAATTTTAATTAGCATCTGCTAGATTTGAGAATATACATGCAAACCTGTATCTTAAAGGTGTTGATGTCTATTCAGAGTTTTACAGTGTTAATTCAGCACCAGAAAAATAAACACAGATGGCTGATGCTTCATTTAATATCTTTATAAACATAGTAAGTAAATTTTACAAACCAGTTGTAGATTCCTCCAACATGAAGCAAACTCAAACAGAAACATGTTGCAACAGGTCAGCAGCACCAGCAAAAAAGACAGAGAGAACTTCCAGTTTCACTTTCCAGGTCAGCTGCCATTGGCTGGTCTGTTACCATGTCTATTCGCTGACTCTGTTAACTAAGTCTCTGCCTATAAATGAATACTCTGACAATGTCTCTGGACAACTTTCTAGGATTCAGATCTCCATTAAAGAAAAAAAAGCTAGGGTTCTCTTTCTGCATTTTGTTGGAAACTATAAACACTCCCAACTAAAAATAGGCTCCATCCACACATAAAAGCAGTATCAAAAGCTGCTGAGTAGGCAGAACTGCTCTTTCTCTGTAACAAATAAGAAGTCATGTTTCATGAAATCTATATTATTGAATTAGCTACTGAATATCACTGCTGAGGTAAACTGAGACCATGGCTTTGCCCAGGTTCTAACAATATAGATTTATGGTGTGCTGTAATCTCCTGTCATTAAATAAGGAGTTAGTGTCCATGAAAAGATTTAATTTCAGTAAAAAGTTAGATACTTTGGATGTTACATTGCTGATAAAATAGGAGGAGTACTAAGGTTGGGTGAAAATGTGGGGAATTCATTGTGCTCCTGATACCTTTTTAGCTCTCTTCACATTAAGCCACTAAGTACCTTTAGAAGACTAATGCCAGAGAGAAGCTGTGTCACAAATTTAACCTGAATTTGACCTTCATCCAACCAGTACACAGGAATAGCTTTCTCTCTTCCTCCTCCCCGTACACACGCACACTCCTTATACATATAACTACACACAATGACTGGAAGCACTTCCTCCTAAACTTAATTATGTAGTGACATTGTATGATAATTGAATTGGTACTATAAATGCAGTATTCCTGGCTGAAAGGTCATTTTCTAATTATTCAATGTATTCCAAGAGTCAATCCTGGCAGTAGATTTGGGGTACATAGACAATCTCTATCATATCGGATAGCACAACTAGCTGAGCTTGGTTAATCTAAGTAGGGTCAGAATGGTTAACTATTTGAATGGAAGATCATCACTAAACTGTAGAGCTGTAGATTAAATTGGAAAGCATTGACAAAGAAGGCAAGAATAAATAATTTATGCATTGCTACCAAGAAATTCACAAGGAAGCATCCACTCAAGCTTATAAGAATTGAACTTCAGTTGAGGGATGCTTCATTCTCACTAATTTTCCTAGAGGAAACAGGATGAATGTCTAAAAAAAGATGTGTAAACTTATCAGTCAATCTCATTCAATGGGAATCAAAGTCACAAACCTAATTTTTCATTATTTAGATCATATGCTTGTTTATCGTTCTGATGAGTACTGATCAAATTTCCCAAATATGCCATCTGTCTGAGCTTACTTTGGACTTTGAGGTTAATTCTGAACACCTGACCTGTTCCAACATGCTAAGCCTATTACCAGATTAAGGACAGAATACAATCAGTACCAAAATGTGCTCCTATCTAATTACAAAAACACTTTTGAGCAGAACAGTGGAGGTGGCGGAATATCTTGTCTCACCAGTTAAGGCAAATGTATATCTAAGGCACCTGGATAGTTTGGAAGAAAAAACACATCAAAAAAGGTAAGTTTAATTTTCTTTCACAGAATGGGTTATTTTGCCATGGAAAAGCTCATTCGAACTTATAGGAGTTTACTCTGTACACATTTATTGGATAGAAGCCTAATTTATTTCAAAAGAAATTTGCAGATAAATAAGTGATTTAGGAATATATTCTTTTCTGCAAATTCATAAACTGCGATATGTATACCGAAACATTTTTATACTCAGATTTGGGGATGGAAAAGCTAAATCCTTTTACAGAAACATGAAAGGAACATGATGGTAATAGATTACAGATATATACTCCTATGTGCCTGCCACCTGCATTATCAAAATAAGCATGCATCAAAGGTACCAACACTTCCATCCCAACATAACACAAAAATCAAATCACAACTTGTACTATCAAGGAAAAAGGTTCACAGTGTAGCACAGAACACCTGAATTCAAATTTTCAGTCAGTTCTAGTCTACCTTACGAAGTCCATTTAGTCTAGACTCAACATTATGGAAGTAATGTGATACTGGCCTTCTGTATTAAGGAACGTATTCCTTAATACAGAAGGCCAGTATCACATTACTTCCATAATAACGTGTTCCACAAATAGTGCAAAAGATTTGCATAAACATTAGTATCTGAGCAAAGCTTGGTGCTACACTTATGATTTCCTAGGATTTTTTAAGAATGGTAAAATATTTATTCCTTTCTTTGTGGTGATCAGTATGTTGATGATAATCCCATATAATAAATATGAATTTTGAAAAGTAAATGTTCCATTGGGATAATTTGTCAATTATTATTCAATCAGTCTTGCTGTCAGTTACCCTTGTTGTATATGTTGTTGGCATTGGCACAAGGAACACTGGCTGATTTAGCAGGTTCAAGCAGATTGCAATCAGTATTGGTGTCCAAATAGTAAAATCCACTAAAGGAAAAACAGCATGTAATGCAGCACATAACAGCAAAGATTCTTAGCAGGAGGAATGAAAACAGTGTAAATGGTTACCTCTTATCTATCTTCCTACTTATCTACTTCAGTTCAATTCAATACCCACCATTCACTTTTTGGATGTTCATTCTGCCTTTCTTTTTCTAGTTGTTTAATTCAAGAAGTGTTATTCATGTTGACATCAGAAATCCCTTGCTCACAACTCACAAGACCTCTGCCACTCCCTGGATTCAAAATTTGGAATATTTGGTCTGCTGTCAGGACATAATTCTGGGACATATGAAGACATTGTAGTTAAATTTAGCCATGAGTTATTTTTGCTGCCAAGGAAGTTCAATGTGCTTATCAACAGAGAAGAGGATAACCAGGGATTGTTTTGTATCGAGACATTCGTTGACATGGAGCTCGACCTTTGCTGCAAAAGATTCTGGGAAATATTTTGATACCCCAATATAATCTGCTAGTTATAAAGATAAGGGAAAGAGAATTGTGCATATTGCTCTGAAATCTTGGGAAGATGGAATGACATAAAAACATTAATCAGCAGCAAACTTAGTTATGCTTAGGGGAAAACCACTTAAATTAGTGGAACAAATTAATCATGGCTAATATTTCTACTGATTTTTGGAACCTTCTTTAAACACAGATCTGGGTATTGTATGGTTTCAGGCCACAGCTGGCCCTTTGTCTGTTCCTGTCCAGTCCATATCAAGTCAATTGGAAATTAGAAATCAAATGTAAATAAGCACGTCACAGGGAGTGGAGGAATTTGAGTCAGTTCCCTCAGTCAACTAGGGACTGTGGGAGGGTGAGGAGAGAAAGCACTCTTCTGTGTCTGCACAATGCTCCCTCCTCGCATGGAACAGCCTGATGAGTTGATGGAGTTTAAGGATATCAAATCAGGTTATATTGGTTTGGCCACCCAAAACAGTCCCAGTTTCTCCTGTTGAAACAGGATTGACATTCTAATAACTAATTCCTGTAGGAGAAAGCAGGCAGAACTAGAAGGTGGTATAAAAATGCATCATTGGTGTAGGGTCCTTGCATTATCACAAGAAATCCACGCCCTTTGAATTCTACTGACTTATCTAGTACCAATTTAGTGCTGACCGTTAGTTGACCAGATTCTTGGGTGGAGCCTTTAATAAATCATTTATGTTGCAATGATTCTCAGAGCCTCACAATTCCCACTATGGGGACCCTATTCCTAGAATACTGTTTGAAAGCCAGTGCTCTAAGATAAGTGTCTAACACAAAAGCTCTAACACACATTCTAGCAACTAAACGCTTGAAAACCTTACAAGAGGCTGTGACTTACAGGATGGCTTAATAGTCATCTCCATACAGAATGCAAGATGTTCTAAAGTATTGTCTCTGATTGGGAGGGCAATAACATTTCAGTGATACTTCAGACAACCATCGTCTTTGTAAACACCACATTTCAAACTTCAGTGTGAACTACCATTTCTGCAAAGCTCTCATCGTATAATTATATGCTGTACTAAGTTCAACCAAAATCTAGACACCAAAACAGAATTCACCTCTGGTTGTGCATTCACAAAGCATCTCAGAAAAATAAAGGAGACAGAAAATGTCTATGGAGATTATTAATCAACCAGGTTATCTGAAAGGTGCTTTTTCAAAAAGCAACAGGACTTATTTTTGCATTGAGGAAGATGTTTCATTTCTCACGCCAGACCTGAAGAAGCTTTTTGGATGACAGGTGAAATGTTTTCCACAAGGAAAAAATAAATCCAGTTGTCTTTTGAAAAAGCACAATTTAGAAAAGAGGTGGAAAGAGTTAAAACAGCCGATTTGTACCTGAAACAATTTGCATCTAAAATTGAGACACACCGAATCCCAGTGTCTCACTTCATTTTGTTTGGTGACCTTGAGGAAAGTCTGTGTTAACCTTCATTGTCATCCTCAGTCTTCAAAATACTGATAAGGCTTACCTTCCATCCGGAGAGTGTAGAGGCTTAATTCATTAGCAAAATAAATAACTTTGGATCTTATGGATGGAAAAAGTCTAGTGAAGGGCAACTTCTCACCTCCTACTCCCCAAATAGCAACAAGATTATAAAAATGTTATTCCTGATTTGTTTTGCAAAAACAGGTCAATGTTCCTTGAGGCAAAAATATACCTGTGTATAGATCTGTATATTCCCATTCCTCTGCTTAAGAAGGTAACAAAGAATATGTGTTCACCTCTACTCATATAAAGCCATAAAGCATCCTTCCCAAACTTGGAACTTCCCAAAATTGTGGGATTTTGACCACTGTTTTTATTTCTAGCTACCACAGTCAGTTGGTTTGACTGACAATTGGTCTCTAACATATACTGAATGTACTAAATTGGAGACAATTGAAACAAAACAACTGCCTTACTAATATATGCAGATTAAAAAAAGATTAAACCATTTCCCTAGAGTTAAGGAATAAAATCTCTTTTAAAAGTCAAGCTCAATTATCTGGATTAAGGGTCACATACTTTAAAAAAAAACAGTGTTGAACTTATTTGCCATTGTTTTTTTCCCAGAAAGTTTTTCTTTTTCAGTACAGTGGTGGGATTTCTTGGTAGGTATGAACCAGTTTGCAGATTTACTAAACTGGAAAATGGCTTTTTAAATAAACTTTATTAAAATCTACATATAAAGAAACATTTAAAATACAAAAACATAAGCAAAAACATGAATGTGCGAATGCAAAACTAAAGAACTTAAAAATATAGTCTACTTCTATCTTTTGCATTTCTCAGGGATCATTAATCATTTCTTATTCTTTTATACCATTATAATTTCTTTTTAAATTTTCCATTATCTCCCTTTATTTAATGTATAAAAACTTTATCATCAAATTATTTTTCTCTGCTTTTTTAAATAAAATCCATAAATGGGTTTCAGTCTTTTACAAAAGCCTCTGTGTAATTTTCTCATTAGATAACTTAATTTTGCCATCTCTTCGAGTTGTTAATTTGAAGTATCCAATATTCAACATTTGGAACTTTTTTTATTTATCCCTTTCACAAACTGCTTTGCAATATGTCCCTGTAGTATTTCAAAGTAAGATAATTCAAATTATTTAAGCAGCCAGTATCAAAGGAAAGGAATTCTTTATCTGGAACATCATATTCTCATGGAAAGATAACTGCAAAAAGACTTAGTTTAGGCTGAAGGTTTTTTTTTTTTAAATAAGAGCTGATAAAATAGCTTGACCTATTTTGATCTAAGCTGAGGCCGCACCAATTCTAGCTTGCAACTCAATGCTTTTTCCACCTGTTCTGTATTGTAAAAACAAGATTCTGTTTTCACTTCATGTGATTCCTCATACAAAGATATTGTGATCATGACCATGGGATAAATTGTACCTATGCTTAGAACATTCACTCTTGCCCATGTAAAGGTAAACATTCCCCTCACACATATGTGCCAGTCGTTTCCAGCTCTAGGGAACAGTGCTCATCTCCGTTACAAAGCCGAAGAGCCAGCGCTGTCTGAAGACATTTCCGTGGTCATGTGGCCAGCATGACTAAACACCGAAGGCGCAGGGAACGCTGTTACCTTCCCACCAAAGTGGTCCCTATTTTTCTACTTGCATTTTTAAATGCTTTTGAACTGCCAGGTTGGCAGAAGCTGGGACAAGTAACGAGAGCTCACTCTGTTATGTGGTGCTAGGTATTCGAACTGCCGAACTACCCACCTTTCTGATCGACAAGCTCAGCGTCTTAGCCACTGAGCCACTGCATCCCACACTTGCCCATCAGACATCTTTAATAGAGCATTTGTGTTTAATATCACAACCAGTTTAAACACCATGCTCGCTCAGCTCAAAACTCATAGAAGTGCTAATGCTAATGGTCCATAAATTGACCTCTCTTTATGTGAGCAGCTCTTGAGTATACTTCTTGAGTATACAGTATACTTCTTGCTTTGTTCAGAAAATTTCCTGGGTGGTTTTTTTTTTTTTTTTGGTGTTCCAGTAAGAGTCAGCCCTTCCCCTTTTCCTTCATGAATTGGAATAAGCAAAAAGTTATCAAGTTTATGATAACACCATCTTTTTTTTTCTTTAGTGTTTGCTTATTTATTTCCTCACCTACTTATCATCATCCTCTGGATTTATTTCAGTTTTGTTTCAATTTAACTAATAAAATACTAAACTTTAGTAACTAAAGCATAAAAATCAATCAAAATACTAGTAATGACAAAACAACACGCAAGCAGAAAAATAAGCATTAGTGAAAGTCATTTAAAAAATTAAAACTAATCAGGGTGAGAATGATCTTTGATGGGTCCAGAAGGTTCAGATTTACCTCATGGAGTACCATTTTTTCCAGATAGATTTCTGCTAAAGCACAACTGCCAGGAACATCCTGAGGAGTCTTTCAGAAGAGTTCTTAGAGTCCTGGTAGGTAAATGTAGAAGGAAAGAATCTTTTTTAAAAGAAAATTAGCTTCAAGTCATTTAGGACTTCAGATTAAGACCAGCATTTTGAACTAGACTGAAAATAAAAACAATCTTATGATATGATTGAAACATCCAGACTCATACAAAATTCTGCTGCCGAATTTTGGGCAGATGGAATTATCCAAGTTATTTTCAAGGGCAACTCCATGTACAATATATTACAATAAGAAATTCAAAGAAGATACTCAAAAACAGAAAACAAGACAATGGTTGTGGTATATGTACACTAAAACCTTACCTACCTTACCAATTTAACTGCTGTAACCTTCCTCAAGGAAAAGGTGTTTGCTTACTTTAATCTCATCTTTCATTTGGGAGTTCATGTTGTCCCCATTCTCTATTTTTTCTCACAATAACAATAGCAGATTGGTTGAAAAAATCACTGGCTCAAGGTTACTCAATGAGGAGTAACTGAAAGTGAATAGAATCTAGATTTATCTTGTCCTGGATTTATCTTGAGTATTTCTGAGATCAATCCTTTAAAAGAATCTCCTTAGTTTTACTAAGAGATCCTGAACTTTCCTGGATGATTCAGACAATTCCCTAAGCCAAAGAAGTTTATATTAAATTATTCTAAATCTTAAATTATGATTACAAGTAAGCCATATTATGATTCGTTGGGTTTTGGCTCATTGTAGTGTCTAAACATATCACACTAATGGAAAAAAAATGCCCCAAATCCTAACTCGTTCATTGACCCTACCACATTATTATCACATAACTCTCAGACTCAGAGGCTGCAAAATTACATTTTTAGAGTACAATGATTGGTCATAAAACCAATTGGTCCATGTTAATCAGAGTAGCATGTGGCAGTTAACAAGATTTTGGATAAGCCTCTTAACTATAGAACTGGTTTAACATAGATTTCTTTTAATAAGATTGAAAATCCTAACTGTCAAGATTGCATTATGGCCTTGAAACAAACTCATATTGCTCCTAGGCTAAGGCTCAAATTATATCAGATAGTAATTAGATGCCAGGGTTTATTAAAAGTGAAATGAACCACTATTGACTTCTTTTCACCTTTGCCACTCCTAGGAAGAATACAGTATGTTTTCTTGCCTCATTTATCTTCTAGTTGCTCCTCCTCTTCTTTCAGTGCAGCCAAACAAGGCTCTAATGTTTTCAGTCAGAACTCAGTGTGCAGCAATTCGTTTTTTCCCCTCCTTAATAAGATTTATTTAGAGGTTAAAAAGATTGAGGAAGCAGCAGGAAAATGCCTTAAGCTTAAAACTGGGAGCAGTCACAGTCTGGACTTTCTCAAATAATTTCATGAAAATAGCTAGATATTCAGGAATGAAAGCTTTGTCTAATTCAAGACAAAGAACTATTATCCTGTCCTCTTAAGGTTTTTTTGATCATATGAAAAAGTGAAGTGGCAGAAAAAGAAGGATATGTACAAGCAGAACACTACAACTATCTCTTCTGGAATTAACCCTAGACTTGATTTTTGTTTCTGAGGGTCAGTAACTCATTATTCCTTGTGGAAGGATTGGATCTTGGGGCTGATATCCCTTGGCTCTGAAGGATCATCCAGAGAATTAGCAAGCGACAAAACTAGAGGCCAAGAAGCTCAGCATCAAAACACAGAAGTGGACATTTTGATCATTTCATTGCTTTTGCTTTAAATATGTATTATTCTTTCCTCCAGAATTATTCCTCCCATAGGAGACACATGGGAATCCAAGGGGTTGAGGGGGGAGGGGGCTAAAGTAAGAGGTCAACCAGGTTTACATCTGTTTAACTGTGATTGATTTAATAAGCATAACTGACTGTGTTTGTAGTTGATTGACAGATGGCTTGTTTCTGCCAAGAAGACTAATATGGATTGGTATTTGTATTACAGAGCATAATGGCTCAGGATATGAGTGAGAAGGAGCTAAAACAGATGGAATTAGATCAACTGAAGAAGGAAGTGAAGCTTGAAAGACAAATGGTAATGGGTTTCAGGTGTATCTCTACTAAAAAAAAATCAGTGCTTCTGCATCTTCCTCTTATTCTGTACTAAAAAAAAATCAGTGCTTCTGCATTCTTCCTCTTCTGATAAAGTTGTCAAGTGGCAATCGGCATGATATCTTCATTTCCATCTCCATGGTAGGATGCAAATGAACCTCCTCATTGTCTAAAGACTTTCACGAAGCCATCCTGTGACACAATGAGGAAATGACACAATGTGACACAATGAGGAAAAATATCACTAGCACAGAGCAGAAAAAAATGAAATTCACATTGTTCCACAATCTTCAAAAATCTTCCTACCAAATACTTTGAACTGAGACTTGATACATTATGGCACCAACTAGTCAAACTGGAAGGTTAAATTATTGTGCAAACATAATTTTCAAATTTTATATTAGTCAACTTGTACAAGAAATGTTTTCTGTGAACATATTTTAGGACATAAATATACAATCTATGTTAAAAACTATTTAGGAGAATCAACAGAAAAACATGCTATAAACATCATAGCAGAATGTACAGTTATTAAAAATTTGCCATCAAGAAATATAACTGTATTGAATGATCAATGATCTAATCCAAATTCAAAGCAGCCACATATGAAACTTGAGGATAAAAAAACCTGGCTTCTTAAGAAGTTAGGAGTCATATACTAGTCATAGAAAAGTTTTTGTCTCAAGGAAGATTGTTCCCAATGTGCCAAATATCTCCATTATTAAACTCTTATTTTGAATCTGTATATTTAGAACTTGAGAAAACAGAGTGAAGTGTAGCAGTAGCAAAAAGAAGCAAATTAATTACTCAGAAATTAGTCATTTTGAGTTTACAAAAAGCTGAAACAGTTAAAGGTGGTACATTTGAGCCCTTATTTAGAATCACAATGCTGCAGAAAGAATGAAAGAAAGACTTGCTTATTCTCCCGTGGGAAGGTTCCCTATTAATTCTCTATTATTTAGAGGTTGTAAATCAGAAATCAAAAGTTCAGGAAATGAAACACTGCATTTTTTTCCCCACATAGATCTCCAAGACAGCGAAAGAACACAGAACCTTTATAGAATCTATGGCTGCAGAAGACCCCATCTTAAAAGGGGTTCCAGAGGACAAGAACCCATTCAAGGAGAAGGGAGGTTGTACAATAAGCTGACCCTGGCCTCACCCAAAAGAAGATCTTTGTTGCTCTCTTTATATGCTACTTAGTACTGTATGAATTATGTTTACCCTATACAATGAGTCTAAATCAAGATTGGGGAACTTTTTGGCCCCAAAGGGTGCTGGGGTAGCTGGTAGTCAGCTATATTGGAAGGGCCATAGGATCCCCATCCTCAGAAAAAAGGAACCAGAACATATTCATGACCAAGATATATATTCCATGATTTAAGTGTTTTTTTCTTTAAATTGATGCTTTGTTTATTGCGGGAAAAATGATGCAGGCTTGAAACAAAATGAAACAGAATAGAAAAAAATTATTATTAAAGATTTCTTCTCCTTCCATTCTGCCAAGTGGCTACCTGGAAGGCTTTAGAAATATGATTTATTTAGTTATTCACTTTTATTACACTGGGTTTTGGGTTTGTTTTTTTTTAGAAAATTACATTTGTAATTTAACTTAGTTTTCCCATTTGCAACAACTGATTAAGTACTACTTTATGTCAGATGTTAACAACTAGCATCTCTCAAGCAATGTAACTTTAAGATTGCAGAATTCAGGTCCCTAACATGAGGCTGAGGAATTCTGAGAGTTGATGTGCACACATCTGAAAGCTGCCGAGGTTGAGAAACACTGGCTTAAAGTACAGTTTTGGGATGCAAGGTCTAACTACAAAGCAAGTTGGGCTAAGAAAAACAGCTTCTCCATAACAGAAATACAATATAAGAAATGAAGTTATGGTGAAAAAGTTCAGATTGATGGATAGTGAGATGGCAGCATATAAATTTAATTAAAACAATTAAATTTAAACAATGAAATGATTCTTGGCTTTCTTTCATTACCATAACTACTTATCAAAATATGCTGGGAACTATATCGTCTGTTCTTAAGACTCAGCTACTCACATTTGTGTAGCAAAATCTTAATTCTGATGTGTACAACAGAAACTTAGCTTTGAGAAGAAGCTTTGAAAAGGCTAAACTGCAAATGGAAAGCATCTGCTATTCTCCAAGTTGAGTTTTGCCATGTTCCTACCAAGTTAACATCTCATTTGATTGTTAGTTTTACTTCTCAGATCTTACTGCAGATAGAATATTTATCTATCCTGAGACAAAAGAATTGCAAAGCATTTTTAAAAGCAATGATAGATAAATTAGATAGATAGATAGATAGATAGATAGATAGATAGATAGATAGATAGATAGATAGATAGATAGATAGATAAATGGATGGATGTAGGTAGGGGAGAGAGAGAGAGACAGAGATGGGTGGATAGATAGATGAGAGAGAGAGAAAGAGAAAGAGCACAGATATTAGGTTATGAAGAGCAGATATTAAGGTAAGTCACTACATATGACATAATAAATGTTTAGTTCCAAATCTAGTTTTTGCAAGCCATATGATGAAGTATACAGATGACCCTCTAATAGTTTTAAATCAAAAATGCACATTTTTCCATGCAGCACTGAAATAGCTTGTTTTATTATTATTCATTTGGTGGAAACTCATACAAGCTTTGTAGAAGGCATGCATATGAGGCATGAAAAGTGCAAGGGACAAGAAAATCACGTTGCCACTTTCAAAATGTATGTATTTCACTTCAAAGCTAGAATGGCTAAATAAACCTACTTAATTCCATATTTTAAAGTTTGATTTGACCACCTGAGCGTTAATCTATAACGTTCAATCCTAAACACAACCTGTATTAGATGTGAATGCCCCAGAAGCATTTCAAGGGTGTAGAAAAGTGAGTGCCAAGCAACACACATTTCTTCTTATACTCAATTTTTCTCATCTTACTGATTTATTTATAATACTTAGACAAACAGGTTATAAGCACCTCCCTATGATATATTATGACAGCAGCTCCAAGTTCCAGGCTTGCTGTTAGGCAAGATATGACAATTACCTCAGGAAGCAGATACTGGCGAGAGGATGCCAGGCACCAAATGAGAAGAAGTAGTGGTGTTTTGTGATATTGGCTGCCATCTTTCTCTTGTGACAGCCACATATTTTAGATCAGCTCTGAGGCTGCAAAAGATTTAGTCCATGTACCTTGTAAGCCCTTCAATATAGGCCAGGTCAAGAAATAAGACTGCACAGGAAGGCTACTTTATTGTCAGTGGAAAGTGGGGCTGTTCTGAGTTTCTTGTTTGCTCCATCTACTTTCCCAAGGCTCAGCAACCGTTTCACCACTTCTGTTTCCTTCTTCAGGCCAGAGCTAAATTTAATAGTATACTAAAGCCAGCCTACACCAGCTTGCGAGAGCCAATTGATAAAGTTTCTGCAACTTGCCATGAGAGCAAAGCAATTTTAAAATATGTGGACTTCAACTCCCAGAATTTCCCAGCAATTTTGGATCCATACATCTTAAAGGTGCCAAGCTTATAAAAACACTGGTCTGCACTTAGTGCACCCATCAGTTGTTCTGCAGCATGGTCCAACCACAACAGAGATCTCTGAAACCTCTCTTAGCTTTTGCATATATCCCCCTGCCAAATATATTCTACCCAGAGTGTTTGGGAGTCAGGCAGCATATACATTTAATACATTTTAATTAATTAATTATTATTATATACATTTCTTTTAAAAAATTCATTCAAAACTGCTCTAGTTTTGCATATAAAGTACAAGTACTCAATTTAAAATTTTAATCGAACCCCCACTTCGGTTTTGGTCCACTTTAGCTTCATAACTTCTAACAGTCACTAAACAAATGATTGTAAGTTGAGGACTACCTGAACCACATACAAAATGAAGCGTCTGCTGCTCTAATGTTAGGATTGAATAACCAAGTGCTGAGCTCTACACAGACTTGACAATCTTCAAGATACAGCAACAAGTTTATGGCATACGCTTTTAACTATGTCTCAGAATTACTAAAAACAAAATTCTCAAAAATCTTCAACCAACCAAGAATAGTAGCCATTTGTTTCTTGAAGGGGAAGGGGAAGGCAGCCCTCTAGTTCTGAAAAACAGCAGATTTGATTACAGGCAATTCTCACTTCATGGTTGCCTTAGACAACAGTCATTCAGTTATAATATTGGTGAAAAAATAACTTTGCAATCAATGCTCACATTTACAATCTTTGCAGCAGCTCTCTTTTGCTGTCCTATATTTGCCATTACAGCCAGTTAGTACATTATCCTAAAATCACATTTTAAAATAATAAGCACAGTCAGTTTTTCACTTAATGACTGCTTTACTTAACAACCAAGTTATCAGTTTACACAGGTATGTCCTCCAGGCTAAAGTACTTTGGCGAAATTGAATGGACACTTTTATAGAATATCTTGTTAAAAAGATTTTAAAATATCTTGTTATTTTATGCCCAATGTTTGGAGATTCTTTATCCAGAAATAAAATTACTTCTTCAAACAATATTTATTTATTTAGAACCCATCTAAATCCACATTGAAGCTGAGTTACATATAAATAAAAACTAAAACATGGAAAGAGAAAGGAAAAATATAGTTAAAACACAAATTGGTTCACAGTTTGCATTAAAGATCCAACCAAAGAGAGGAGTCTTAAGTCTTCTACAGAGCTCTGAGTTTCTGAGCCTCTCTAGTTTCATGTTGAACACAAACGACTGTTACCTTTGTTGACAAAACAGAAACAGAGATCACAAGGGGAATTTTGAGGTGATCGTAATTAGATAAACTTGGATTGTCAGAAAGTGAATAAATTCTGATGTGTTTTTAAACAAACTTTCAAAATTGAAAAGCAGATTAGGCTATGGACAACAAAGTGGTTGAATCCAGAAAATTGGTATATTTTCGATAAATGCAAACTCAGTCTTTCATATTAGCCACCCACTTGCAGAATGGAAATGCCAAGTCTTCAGATAATTTTAAATTATATCAGTCATTTCCAACTACTTAAATGTACTATTTAAATAGTACTCCCCTTCATAAAGCAGTAATTTGTGCCCATTCTTAAAACTTCTTAAGGTACAGCTTCCAGAAACAAAATGCTTTTTACATACAGTACTACTTTTATATTAAATTACATATTTATTTATTTTTGATGGTGGTTCAAAAATGCCTAAGTGGAAGGTTGATGCTCATTTACAAGTTCATTATTCTTATTATATAAAGCTTTTGACCAAAATGTAGGACTTCATTTCTGAAAGATACCCTTATACAAAGCAATATTTTGAGGAAAAAAAATCATAAAGGAAGTGCATGAAATGTACATGCATGCTATTTGTTTCAGGGATTTTTTTTACCTGATAATCTTAGCTAAATGTACAACATCCATGCAAAACTACATACAAGACAACTGAAATTATTTTGAGAGCTCATTACAGGTGGTCTTGGACTTACAACCATTCATTTAGTGACTTTGAAGTTAAAACAGCACTGATAAGATGATCATTTTTCACACAACCATTGCAGCATCTCCATGATCAAAATCCAGACATTTGGCAACTGATGATGGTTGCAGTGTCTGGGGTCATGTGATCATCTTTTGTAATCTGTCAAGTGAAGTCAATGTTTAAGCCAAATTCTCTTAACAACCATGTTACTAACTGAACAACTGCAGTGATTAAGAATTGTGGCAAGAAAAGTTAAAAGATGGGGCAAATTTCACTTAACAATTATGTTGCTGGGCAACAGAAATTTTGGGTTTAGTTGTGATAATTAAGATGTGGATAACCTATACAGCTTTTTTTCATTGATATCTCATAAAGGTTAAGCAGCACGTGCATTTTCCTGATTGCTTCAGTAAGAAAAGTACCCTTTTCATCCGTTAATACAGAAGTATGGGTATCTGGTTCATTGTGGATATTGCATCTATCAAGCCTTAGAGAATCAATTTTCCCTCTATACCAATTACACATTCTCATATATTTCCCAACAATATCTGTTTTGATGAGTCAAGGGTTTCCTGATAAAGTTAACTAAGCCTTGTCATTAAAAAGTACTTATTCAACAATATAGAAAGGAATATGTTGCATAAATAAACTGTGCACTCTTTTCATTAATTTCTTCTTCTATAATCTGTTGGTTTTAAGCTATGACTGCTGATTGATGTCTGTATGTGCCTGTGGCTGTATTATATTTTGAGAGATACAGCTCTTTCTGTCATCCACAACTAACCTAACCTTTTCAAATCATCATATGGCATAAATGTTTTCCTGTTTTTATTTTGGTTTTTATTGCAGGCT